AACCCGACAGCCCCCTCCCACCCCATGGTCACCCAAGCTAAGGCTGGCATCTTTTGTCCCAAACAAATCCTAAACCTCAACACCATTGCACCTATCTCCCCCATACACCCTACCTATGCCGTAGTGCTCTCAAAGTTTCTTTACTGGTACAATGTTATGCTAGATGAATAAAATGCCTTGACAGCTAATCATACATGGGATCTTGTACCCCCCCCTCCCCTGACCAAAATATAATCTCTGGGAAATGGCTCTTTCGCCAAAAACTTGGCCCAACAGGTGAATTATCAAGGTACAAAGCTCGATGGGTTGTCCGTGGGTTCCATCAACGCCATTGCATCGACTACGACGAGACCTTTAGCCTAGTTGTCATACCGGCCACTACCCGCATCATCTAGAGACTTGTCGTGTCCAGAGGATGAACGATCCACCAGTTTGATGTCAAAAATGCTTTTTTGCAGGGCTACCTCATAGATATTGTCTACACCACTCAGCCTTCGGGATTTCAGCGATTCACGGGCTTTGTCCTTTCACTTGGATGCAGTGGGTGCAAGAGCGACACCTCCTTATTTGTCTATAGTCGCGGTCAGGACATGGCTCTACTCCTGCTTTATGTTGATGGTATTGTACTCACGGACTCATCCCCTGCCCTCCTTCGGTAGCTTACAGAATGACTGAAAGGGGAGTTTGCTATGACAGACATGGGCGACCTTCACTTCTTCCTTGGGATCAATGTCCAGCGGACATCTCACGGCTTGTTCCTCACTTAGACTCAGTTCATCTATGACATCCTTGAACGTGCCGGCATGACTTCGTGCAAACTAATTTCTACATTCGTGGACACCCGTGGGAAACTTTCAGCCACCGTCGGTCCCCACACCCCAGATCCTTCTCTATATCGCTCCATTGTGAGAGCACTGTAGTACCTCACTTTCACTCGTCCAGACATTACCTATGCTATTTAGTAGCTATGTCTCTTTTTCATGATCCTCGTGTGCCACATGTCATAGCCATGAAGCGCGTTTTGCGCTACCTACACAGCACACCCACTCATGGAATCACAATTTGACCTTCTCAGACGGATCATATGCGGGCGTATTCAGATGCTGATTGGGCTGGCTGTCCTGATACTCGCCGCTCGACATCCAAATACTGCATTTTTCTCAGCGACAATCTCTTTTCATGGTCCTCCAAGCACTAACTCACCACCTCTCGATCCAGTGCCGAAGCAGAATGTTGAGCTGTTGCCAATACAGTCGCTGAAGGCAAATGGATACGCAATCTACTTCTTGAACTCCGCAACCCCTGACTCGCTCCACACTAGTCTTCTGTGACAACATCAGTGCTGTCTACCTTTCTGCAAATCCTATCAAGCATTAGCGCACAAAGCACATTGAGGTTGACATTCACTTTGTGCGCGACAGAGTAGCCTTGGGTCAAATGCAGGTTCTTCATGTACCTTCTTATCTACAGTATGCAGACATCATCACCAAAGGACTACCCTCCATGATTTTCTCCGATTTTCGAGCTTGTTTGGGCGTGAGGCAATCTTCATCCGTTCCGTTGGGAGCATGTTAAATATATTCTTACTATATTTAATATTTATGTATATTGGTAGCTACCATATTTGTATAGGGTGTATTAATTAATGTTTCCTATTCTCATTAGGAAACTTATGTATATAAACACAAGTAATCTCCAATAATTTATTATTGGAAAATATTCATTCTTCACTTAGGATACCATGTATCAAAATGCTTCCATGCATCACAATCACACGAATGTCCTAGCGTGTCACTAGTTATTTCCATGTTTCTCACATGCCATGTCATTTGATTGTTAGTTTTGGATGACATGTACATACACCTTAATCGATCAATAATGGGAAGGTGATGATAAATTTTCTTAGTTATGGGTTTCTTCCTTACTCCTCTATTCATTGTAGATTCAATATAGCGAGATTCACCACCAGTTGTGCATTCTAACAAAGTCATTGTATCTTTACAGTAAAGCATGCAATTGTTCGGACACACATCGATTTTCACCATCGGTAGACCTAACCCTTTCATCATATGTTTCACTTGATAAAAACTTTGTGGTAAACAATTATCATTAGGCAACACCTCTTTGAAAATACTAAGTATTTTGCTAAAACATGTATCCAACATGTTATATTGACTTTTAACACTTAGTAATTGTTCCACTATTGACAACTTTGTGAACTTTTGGAAACCTTCATATAATGGTGTTGATGTCACAATCATTTTATAATATTGTTCTGCAGAAAAGTCTTGATTGTCGTTACATTCAACCTCGTTGTTCTCATTATTCCCTTTATTATAATCATCCTCATCATCAAAATTACGTTGATTGTCTTCATCACATTCTAAAGCATAATTATGATTATACACTAGCCCAACATGTTCAAAAATCATTTGCTCAAAATTTGACTAAAATATATTTGGTGACTCCTTTTCAGATTCATATCTTTGAATTGTGAGTGTGATGTCTCCCCTTTGAAAAAAATAGAAGATGTTCCTAAATTCTCACTGTGGCAATATCAAACCTCATAATTCTTCATGAATTCATTCTTTTGCAAATGCTTATCAATTTTAATAGAACCCCAAAAATATCTTAATCCACATTTCTTACAAGGACATTTTACCATATCTTTATTATATATTGGCAAATGCAACTTTCATAAAATCTTGAACACCATTTAAAAATCTGGGATTTATCCAACCATTTTCCATGAAACGTTTTCCCATCCATTCCCTTCTCTTTGACATAATAACTAACCTGCAATAATTAAAAAATTATATAATTAAATGATTAAAAATTCATGTATATGCTTATTTTTGTATGAATTAAATGAAGAAGTATTTCAATCAATAACATAATTAAACTGGACTTAACTACAAAAATTTATTGTATAAAAATTGATTCAAATATATATCTCTTGTATTTTAATACATGAATAATAATAATAATAAACAAAGAGTAACTCAAAATCCAATATTTTATAAAACGTAATTACATACCTGAGAAATGGGACTGTAAATTTTTTGATTAACTAGAAGTGATAAAAAAAGATTTTTGAATGAGCATGGTCCTAATATTTGAGATGTGTATAAATAGGTAAAAGAAATAAAAATGAAAAATAATGTTTAAGGAAGAATAAAAATTCATAGAAAGAAAAGTATAATAAAGATTGGAAGATAAAAAAGAATGGCTTCTAAACCCAACATACTGTAGTAAAAATATAAGCTACATCAAGAGACAGATATCTGTCTCTCATATTTGTCTCAACTTTTGAGACGGAAATCCGTCCCTATTTTGCGTCTCTACTCAAGAGAGAGATATCTGTCTAATTTTTCTGTCTTGTTTCCCCTTACGTTCTTGTAGTGACATGTGATTGAGAATGTGTTATAGCATTCAATTTGTCATTTATTTGTGTGACAGTGTTACAAAATCCTTTTCAGCAAGTTGTTTTATGGATTTATTTGCGTAGCTTATTTTTATCGATGATTTTCGCTACCCCACGAGATTTCAATGCACTTATGACTTTTGAGACACCACACGAGGCTATTGCGCACTTAACTGATTAACTCATCTTATTTAAAGTCAAATTATTTAAAAAATTAATAAATATATACTACTAATAAGTCAAATTATTTTCAAATAAGATGAGTTAATATTAATTAACTCATTTTTCTTGGGACGGAGGAAGTATTTTTTTCATTTTTTGAGTATATATTTGTTAACTTTTTAAATAATTATACACCAATTTTCATACAAAATAAAATGAAAATAATTTTAATCAAAGATTAAAAAGATTGTGAATCGAAAGAGTATTCATGCAATGCGAACACAAATA